CTGCTTGCCCTCTCTCTCTCTCCTTCCCTTTAATCCTCGATTTTTTTTTTCAAAGCCTCAACTTTAAACATTGCCTGGCATTTACTTCTCAACTCACAGTAATCTTTCTTCCCTTGACTGTCTCCAAAGCCTGGGCAAGAGCTTTCCACACTACAAGGCAGCTTCAGGTGGTCTGGCCTCTCCTGAAACCACCCTCATGTATAGTCAAATGGCCAGGGAACTTCTAACTGCAAAATCTTAAAGCACTTTCTCATACTTCATCCTCTCCGTTCTCTCAGAAGCCTTTGTCCCTGTCGAACACCTCTACCATGTTGAGATGTCTTCCTTGAGTCTCCCAGTCTCCCAAGCTGGCCCCTTCTCCAGAATTCCTTTTTCTTCCTGCTCCTGTGCCATCACCAGCCTTCTACACTGGGGCCTTTCCTCCCTTCCCCTGGGGATCTCGCTGGATGAGCATGTTCCCTGCTCAAAACCAACATGGTGATGGTTCTCAGACCTGCCTCTCTTCCCAGCAGGCTGTTGGAGAGCCCTGCAGGATGGAAAACAACCTCCTCAGGGACAATGTGTTGAAGTCCAGTCTGTTATGTTCTCTTCCAAATACCTCTAATGTTTCTCCATTTCTTCTCTCAGTCCCTGGCATCACTGGCCACCGAGTCACCAAGGCCAGAAATCACAGAATCACCCTGGACCCTCTTCCAGCCCTCATTCCCTATAATGATCACACTTCTCCGAAGTCTCTCTACCATATCCCTTTCTAGTCTCCAAGATCCAATTTTTTTTTTTAAAAGACTTTATTTATTTATTTGACAGAGAGAGAGAACACAAGCAGGGGGAGCAGCAGAGGGAGAGGGAGAAGCAGGCTCCCTGATGCGTGGCTTGATACCGGGACCCCAGGATCATGACCTGAGTCAAAGGCAGATGCTTAACCGACTGAGCCACCCAGGCACCATGTCAAGACCCAATTTTCATTTAGCTTAAAATTTAGCTCTAACCCGGGTGATATAGCATCCTACTACTGTGTTTAGCTTCCTCCAACTCCTAATTTCTACAACCCATTCCACCCCCATCCCCAGTTTTCTTTCAAAAACACAGATGGCTCATGTCACCCTCCTGTTTCCCACTTGCCCATAGAACAACATTTAAACTCCCGAGCAAACAGAGGGAACTTTACAACCTGCTCCACTTACCTTCCCAGCTTAGCTGTAATGACCTGCCGGGTAGCTTCCTCTTTCCCAAATCTATTAGACTAGTTTGATTCAACCGTTCATTCATTCATTCAATAAACATTTACTGGGTGCATACAGACATTATGTGAGGCTTTAGCGATTCGGTAATAAAAAGCACAGTCCCTGTCCTCAGGGAGCTTGTATCTAATGGCAGATAAAGCACCTGTGATAATGTTCTTATTATAATATGCAATAAATGGTTGTCAAGGTAAATGAGCTCATGCTGAAGTAAGTGCTTCATTGGAAAGGCAGTGTAATGTAATGGTTAATATCATGGGCTACTGGCCAAAGTGCCTGAGCTCCCGTACCAGCTCTGCCAATTTCTAGCTGTGTGACCTTAAGCAAGTTATTCTCACTGTGTCTTCATTTCATCATCTTTAAAGTGGAGGTCATAATAGTTCCTTCTTCGGAGAGTTGCAGTAAAGATTAAATGAAGTCATGTTTGTAGAATGAATGGGGAGAGTGGAGTCTGGCATATAACAGTGTTGACTGTATTTTCATTTGTATTATTGTTGTACCTTGAGAGGTATGTCCAGGGATTATGTAACCATGTATGAGAGTCCAAGACCAGATTGAGAGGAGCTTGAGGGAGATCAGAGACGATTTTCTTCAGGAGGAGGTAATACCTAAGAAGGGTCTGAAAGCCTGAGTGAGCCAGACAAGCCATATAAAGGTAGTCCAGCCCAAGAAAATGGGGGAACAGGGGGCATAGTGTGTAAATAATATGAAAGTAATGGAGTGAGGTACATTCTGAGAATTTTAAGGTAGAAATGACAGGATGATGAGAAATGAGGTGGGGAGGGGCGCCTGGGTGGTTCAGTTGGTTAAGTGTCTAATTCTTGGTTTCGGCTCAGGTCATGATCTTTTGTGGTCATGGGTTTGAGCCCTGTGTATGGCTCTGTACTCAGCATGGAGTCTGTTTCACATTCTCTCTCTGTCTCCTACCCACTCTCTCAAATAAATATATAAAATCTTTAAAAAAAAAAAAAAGTAATGAGGTGGGGGAGGCAAACTGAAGCCACATTGTAAGGGATTTTCTTTGTATGCTGTGATAAGCAGTAGAGATTTTTACCTTGAAGGTGAACTATTGCCTCCAATTGAGATATTGAAGGGTTTTAAGCAGGGACATGATATAATCATGTTTCCATTTTAGAAAGTTCATTATTGTAGCCCCGATTAGGGTGCCGGAAAGTGGGAGCAGGGAATCCTAAGAGGTGGCTATTAAGCAAAGCCTGAAGGAAATGAAGGGGTGTGATCCAAGGTGGGTCAGTAGAAATGGGAAGGAGATAGATGGAATTCCTCTTCTTTTTTTTCTTAAACTGCTAGTGACCCTTCAGGACTTGCTCCCTGGGGAGCCTTTCCTAAAGCCCCCAGGCAAATGTAGCTGATCTGCCATTTACATCCCACCCCTTGAGAACAGAAATGGGTCTTTCTTTACTTTTATAGCTATATTTATCACTGTGAGCTAAGACAGGGTCTTGTAGATGTTAGATACATGTTTGCAGAATAAAATCCTTCAACGAATGTCTTTTAAGAAGGATCGAGATGGCATACTATCCAAGGCTAGTATGTTTTCTGATCCTTTTACTTTTTTGATATGCTTAGTCACCAACAGTCTTATAATAATAGCTGTCCCCAAGCTTCACAGAGCAAAATTTGCTTTGTTTAAATTGTTTAATTAAAATTAACAAACCTACCAAGTATGTTGTAATTGAAAGGCACTATGCTTTGGTATATACTGATTGTCATTTTTTTCTCTCTCATAAATACATTAAATATTCTCCATCCAATGTATAGGAAATTATAATATGTTAAATTTATGTTATTTTATTTAAGGAGATAATTAATGTTTTAATTAAAAGTAGATAGGTCCAAAATAGATCTATGGTTTATAGCACCAATTATTTCCATTATTCTTGACAGCAGGAAGCCATCATGCTTGTTAGTACTCCTTCCACCCTATCTTGGATGGATTGATATGATTTCAATTGATTAGGTGCTGTTGAAAAGCTCAGTGTTGTCCTTTGGTCCTGGGCTGAATAGCATTTTTAATAACATGCACATCTACCATTGTGTAAATCATATTCGTGTGCAATCTGACTATATAAGGCTTTTTTTTTTAACCCACTGGTTGAGAATTTTTTCCCACTGGTTTTTCTTGGCTTTTTCTTTTCATTTTAAGTGAACCCAATTCCAACAATTCATTTACAATGGAAAAGATTCAAAAATCCAACGCTTAACAGAGATCAGCTTTCAAACACTGTTAAATGTTAATAAAATTAGACCTATCTTTTTCTGACACTATGCATTTTTCAGAACATTAATGTTCACTATGTTATATAGTGTTCTATATTTTCAGTATCGTGAACATTCTCAGTCTGAAAAAAGTTACATCGTAATAGATTTCTTGAGCTTACTACAAAGGCTATCACAGTTTTGCATTCACAAAAGTCACAGTAAAAATCTGCTCAACCCAAGAACACTGATAATATATTTGAAACTATAATTAGAATGGGGTTTTCTGATTCAAGAGTTATATATGTAAGCAATCAGGAGTTTGCCAGTAATAATCATCCAGTATCGCATTACCAAGATAAAGCCATATTGAGGATGTATGTATTACTACAAATAATAAATGGTATTTTCTTAGGCCTTTCAAAAACCAATATAATTTTTCTTCACTTCTTTCCTAAACCCATTAGATTCTCTTTAGCAGAAATAAGATTAGTAGAAATTTCCTTTAAATTCAAAAATCTTAAGTTAACAAATTTCCCAAAAATACCGCTGTGTAAATAAAAATTGATATTATGCCTATGATGATGGTGAAAATGGCATGACTTTAACAAAAAACTGGCTTCAGATGTATTCATTCTCAAATGCTTAAATCAATGAATAGATGCATGACTGAGAAAAACTTGTATTCAGTCTGTCAGCATTTTTTGAATAGTCATATGTCAGGTTCTGGGGAGCCAAAGAGCTCTAAAGGCATAGTTTATGCCTGAGAAGCTCAGTCTCTGATGGGTAATACTCATTTCTTTTCAGAGGGAAATTCTATGTGAAGTGGTAAGTGCTACAGTGAAGACACAAACAGTCAGGTAGAAGCTCAAGAAGTAAAGTGAACAAATTTGTGTTGGGGCATGATCCTGTTTTCCACCTTTTCATGGTGTGTGTGCATATGCGTGTACATGTGTGTGCATGCGCATATAGGCATCTGTGAGTCTGGTATACGTGAAAGTTAGAATGTGTATGAGGCACTCACAAAGTAGAAGTCATTTAATGTGACTACTTAATGTCCACTTAATGTATCTAAAATGATACAGTATCTATCCAAAAATCTGAAATTAATGGTGCACACAGTTGAAACAAGAACATAAATACTGAACACAAGATCATGTTTAAAAGCAATAAACAGAAACATTTTCAATGAAGTTGGCAAGAAATTTAAGTGGTAAATTAAGCAGATACGTTTTTGTAGAATTTTAAAACTACTAAGATTTATATTTCTAGGACAACTAAATGTAATTAGAGAAAAAAATAGAAAAGTAGATAAATTTTCTCTTGGTTTGTTTTGCTTACACTTAGTATTTTCAGAAGTCTACAGATCTTTATCAATAATTACTAAATACGTAATTCTTAGGGATATGAAGGGATCAATAATTCCATTTTTAAAGCATCGTGATCAAGTAATAGTAACGAAATACTTAGTACATAGAACATCAGGCCTACCATGAATAATTTTGACACAACCAACATAGAGGAGTCAGAGATGATTCTTACCTCCTTGTTCACACAGCTGCTGGGCTAAAGCATCTTTGAAAATAATCTGGCCCCTGTGTGTTGCCGTAGCCCTGAAAATGAATAGGAAAGGTTAATCTAAATCTTGTAATAAGTTTGGTGACAATTTAATGTATTTTTAAAACTTTTTGAAAAACCTCATTTTTAAATGCTATTGTATAGATATGATCTTTTAAAAAATGAGTGCATTTGAACAGCGATTCAAATGAACAAGGGCTTAGACCAAGGCCCCTGGGTTGAGAATTATCTTCTGGCTTTCCTTTGTAAAGATATTGTAACATTTGTGGGCTTATTCTGAAAACAGTAGATGTGAGCAAATCCTGCATAGAAGAAAAAGTATGGAAAGGATGCTTATTAAAATTTCTTCCTTGGAAGACTGATATAAAATGTCTTGTGAAGCAATAATGATACTAGCACTGGAGAAAGATGCTCCGAATATACTTTTTTTCTGAAATCAACAGTCACCATAACACATAGAGAATTTAGACAGAGAATTACATTTTTTCAAAAGTATTTTTTTAAAAAATAGGGCTATTCAGAGCTTTCATAATTACAAAATCTGTCATAATAAAATACACCTTTTCTCCCTACAGGGTCTAAGTCACCATTTGAAATAGATATGCATCGTTTACCTCCCCTAATCAGAGCTGTGCACATTCACTGGTGAAAAAATAGCACCCTTGCAGCAGATGTGTTATTCAGTGGCTATAATAGGAACCGCTTTTATTAAAGGAAGACTTATTTATGCCTCATATTTGAGGTATGTTTCCTTAAAAAGAACTTTTCTGGCACAAAATGTATTGTTTGAACAAATTTAAAACAGAAAATCATGGCTCTTGAAGAAAATTAATTTTAGAAAATAAGCCATATGCAAATCTTTTTAATAACTAAAAAGTATTAAAATTAAATCTCAACTTTAGTTCTCCCAAAACCACCTGAAGACAAAAAATAATGTGATTCAGGCATCATTTACTAAAGATGGATTATGTATAAGGCACTGTGCTAGGTCACCAGAGGGCAAAGTTTGGCTTCTGCATTTCCCCCTCTGTTTGTATATCTCTCGGTCAACATTTTATCCTTTGTGGGGCCCACAGGACCTCGTGGCTCCCAACATTCTCCACTTCGGTCTCTATGTGGATGTACCTTCCTCCTCTATGCTGCAGACCTTTCCCATTTCTACTCCCCATTGAACTGTCACTATCATTAGTGTCAGATGCCAGGACCCAACTCTCTAAACATAATCTGACAAACTAAGCCACGCTTAAGTGTTAATGGGCGACACTGCTCCAAGCTAACATATTTCAGCAGTGAGATGGGAAATGTGACACTTTAACACATCCACATCCACACACATACACAATGGCACAATAGTGAGAGCTTTGAATGGTGGAAGGGAGACAGAATTGGAGAAAAAAGTCACTGGGCAGCATTCATCTCACACTGCCTGTGATGTTTGTAAGGTAATCTGCCCTTGTTGTTGCATAATCATTACCAAAATTACTGATAAACAGACATTACCACACTATTTGTTCACATATGTTTATAGGTTTTCCTTTGCTTTTAGCAAGCTGAAAATGAGGAGGACTAAACATAGGGCCAATCCAAGCCATAACCATGGCCTATGGACTCACTCATCAATTATAGGTGTTATGCCCAGAAGGGACATGGGAACTTGATTTACCTAAATACATTTCGTTGTCAAATCTCAATCAAGTCGAGAGCTTCTGAGTTCACACACACCTCTAGCAGGAACACAGCAGTCATAAATGGAAAATTTTAATTTGACATGTGCTTTGGAAGGAACATATTTTCTGAAATCACTAACCACCAAGAAAAGTCCCACAATGTACAGTGTTTAATTGTTCACTGTAGTTGTCTTCTGATTGTGAGTGTAGAACATCCCCACTGTAATATTTCTCACTGGTCCACAAACTTAGTTATCATCTTGCCAGTGTATGTTCCCATGAACACAATGGGGCCAAAGTATCTAGATAAAACTCAGGCAACAGAGGTTTTGCCTTTTCCCCGGAGAGCAGCGATTCTGAAATAGCCTGGTCACTGCACAGCACCTTGTGAATAGTCCACATTGCTTTCTCCATTACTTGGTTTCCTCAGATTTAGTACTTGTTGCTTTCATTCATGTTCTTATTTCTGCTACTTTGGTTCGATGAGGGACTAGGGAATAATTGAAACTGAAGGCTCTTTTATCATCTAGTCAAAATTTCTTCAGCAGTGGTAACTCATTTTTCAAATAAATATATGAAATCTCAGTATATTCCTCTCTTCCTAGCTTTTGAAGTCCTTGGGTTCCCTCCTGCTCATACAGCATGCTCCTCACCACCCATTCCCCAAAACTTCCCCGCACACTTCTCAGGAACTCTCAGGGTCTTAAAGTGGCAGAGTTTGAAAACTACTGAACTAATTCTAGCTCTTTACAGTGCACGGATCAGGGAACTGAAGCCAGTGAGAACATGCTGAAGGGTACACAGCCTGTTAGTGGCAGATAGGACCTGATTCAAGGTCTTGATTTCAGGCGGCGGATTCTTTCCAAGTTTTCAAAATGTGTTCCACAGTGGTGCCTTGGGGTCTCCGTGGGAGTCCAGGGGAGGGTCAGCAGGCACCCCCACTTCAAACCAGAGCACCTGTACTTTATGTGTTCTAAAGTATTTAATATTTGAAGAAAGGGCTCAGCAATTAGAAACTGGCTTGAGAAGCACATCATATGCCCAATGTTATTATCTGAAGTCCACTGCTTGGGAAAAGTTGAAGTAGTAATAATAATAATGTGACTGGAATATATTTATATATATAAACCATTTATGTATGCTTTTATACATGTGTATATACAGACATATACATATATACTTATATATACATTTAAATACACACACATATATGTATCAACACACACACATATACCATGTTTATATACACATATCATTGTTATTATTATTATTATAACACCTGTTAAGAAATGAAATCTACCCTTTGCTAGGTACTATTGTAAGGGCTCTAAATAAATTAGCTCGATTAATCCTGACAACAACTCTACAAAGGCAGATACTATTATTCCCATTTTTCTGGGACACAGAATTATTATGTGATTTGCCTAATGTCACATGACTGATTAAACTCAGGCAGTCTGAGTGTTGGGTCCTTGCTTTTAACCATCACATTAAATTGTCATTGATCTGGTTCAAAGATTTGAAGGTAGCTTTCACTCTCTCTTGCTTTCAGGGCCTGATCTTTAAATTCAGTGGCCTGTGGCTTGTGCTCTCTACTCCAACCCTTAAGCCCATAGCTAAGCCCTTTTATTTAATCTCCTTTTGGACAAACTTCTTTTCTGTTTCCAGCTGGAAATTTGGCCACTTGGCCAGCAACTCTATGGGATTTGCCTTTAAAGACAGCATTTCTCTATTTTTTAAACTTTAATTCCAGTAGAGTTAAGATACAGTGTTATATTGGTTTCAGGTGTAAAACTTAGCATTTCTCTTGATCGCCTTTCCCACAGTACTCTGTGAGTCCCTTGGCTTCTAATCAGCTCATGTTTCCTCCAACAGCCCCCACCACCCCTCATCCACACCACTGCCCAAACCCTGGAGGGATAGGACACAAACACATGTTGAAGATAATTATGACGTGCATCACTTTCTTTACAGACCCTTAAACCCCTTAGATAACATCTTAATATAAAGATTCCCAACCCTCTGGTAGATATATGGTTAATCATTTTAAGGGCCTGCAAATTCACATCTTATCTCGGGGAGAAGAAAGAACAGAACCAGGTGACCAGCAAGAATGCGAGTTCCTCTGCTTTGTACCATGAGATGTTGGCTCCACACTCTCAGGGTGCAGCTGATGTCAATAATGGCAAGCCTACTTTGAACATACTTAGAACTAGGAAATAATTCATGGGTCTACCTACAGAATTATAGCAGTCATTTTTAAAATCTAAGAATATATGTATTTACATAATGACAAATAAATATATCTAAATATCATATATAAACATAAATTTATACATTTAAACATAAAAATGTATTTATATATTATATATACTCAGAAATTGCTAAAAGCACAGTAACTCTCAGAGTCTAGAGACTCAAAAATTGTCCTCCAATTTTTAATCTACACTATATTTTTCTTTTCTTATAAAAATAAACAGCTATGGTAGATGGTGACAGGCCTTATTCATTCTCAGAATTATTTTAGTGTAATTTACAGCTTTCCTTTGGGGACACATCTATCAAATTTGTAGTGCTAATAACTATATTGGCACAACTTCCACTTAATTTTCCCTAAGGAGCAGTAATTTTTCAGAAGAGGTCAGAAAAATCCTCATTGTTCCCTGTTCTGAGGGGGAGACCAAATTTCTCAAACAAGTTTCTAGTAAGTACTTATTACCTTCTTGGGAGATACAGATATTTCTAGAGCAAGTTTGCCAACAAGAATCCCTATTAAATAAGTAATTTAAAAATTCCTTTGGGCTGTTATAATCTATAATTTAAAAGCTCTACAGAGGCACCTGGGTGGCTCAGTTGGTTAACCAACTGCCTTCGGCTCAGGTCACGATCCTGGAGTCCCAGGATCGAGTCCAGCATCGGGCTCCCTGCTCAGCAGGGAGTCTGCTTCTCCCTCTGACTCTCCCCCCAACTCATGTCCTCTCTCTCTCTCCCTCTCATTCTCTCCCTCACAAATAAATAAAATCTTAAAAAACTAAAAAATTAAAAAAATAAAAGCTCTATAGATCCTATCAAATGAAGAAAGTGCATTATGATCACCATATTCAGAGCTCGAAAGAGCCATTGTTATGAATTTAAAGAACACGCCAGATTCTAATTTTAAGTGAAGTCCTAGAGCAGCTGTGTGCTCCAGCCATTTAAGAATTAGTGTATATCCAGAGGAGGCATGATGTTGAAGCTCAGTGTCTAGAATCAGGAAGACCAGCGTTTAAACACAGTACGCTGCCACTTACAAGCTAGCTGAGTTTGCCCAACTTCTTTGATCACTCTAGGATTCAGATTACTTACATGAAGATAGGGCTAATAATAAT